GCCGAGTCACTTCTGACTCATAGGGAAACTTTACAACACTTTCAAGGAGTAGCTGGTGAGTTAAAGATGACTGTACACATGGACTTCATCAGATGTAATATACAGAAAATCTTATGAACTACATATGTGGAAAAAGGCAGTGGAAAAGCTTTATATCAACAGTCAAAATAAGACCAAGGTCAGATTGTGAAAGAGGCCATCAATTTTTCATACACAAGTCCAGGCTGAATCTGAAGAAAATGAAAACAAGTCCATGATAGTCAAAATTTGCTCTTGAAGGTGTCCCACCTGAATTTAAAATCAATTAAAGAAGAGATTTTATGCACTAGACACAAATGACCAATAACCAGAAGAGTTGTGGAATGACATAGATAGCACCATTCAAAAAGAAAGCCAAAGATCATTAAGAAGGCAAGAAAGAAGAAAAAGACCAAAATGGATGTAAGAAGACACTCTGAATCTTGCTCTCCAGCACAGAGATGCTAAAGCAAATGGAAGAAATGAGGAAGTAAAAGAGCTGAACAGAAATTATCAAAGGGCAGCAAAAGAAAACAAAGTCAAGTATTATAATGAAATGTGCCAAGATCTGGAGTTAGAAAACCATAAGAAAAGAAAACCCTGAGCTTTTCTCAAGCTGAAAGAACAGAAGAAGAAGAAAAAAGGGGAAAAAAATCAAGCCTCAACTTGATATACTAAAGGCACTCATCAGTCAGCTTGTTGTACGGTGGTGGCTTCTGTGTTTCTGTGTTTGCTGTGTTTCTGAGTTGCTGTGATTCTGCAAGCTATGCCACCGATATTTAAATACCAGCAGGGTTACCCATAAGGAGCTCTGATAGCATAGTGGTTATGAATAAGGCTGCCAACCTCAAGGTCAGCAGTTCAAAATTACCAACTGTTCCGCAGGAGAATGATGAGGCTTTCTGCTCCCTGTAAAGATTTATAGTCTTGGAAACCCTGTAAAGGGTCACTATGGGTCGGAACCGACTCCACAGCCCATAACAACAACAGGATCACCCATGATGGACAGGTTTCAGATGAGCTTCCAGATGAAGACAGACTAGGAGCAAAGAGTGACAAATTACTTCTGAATATTTAGTCACTGAAAAACCTTATGAATAGCAGAGAAACACTGTCAAATACAGTGCTGGAAAATGAGCCCCTCAGGTTGGAAGGCACTCAAAATGAGACTGAGGAAGAGATGCCTCCTCAAAGTAGAGTTGACTGTGATGATGCGAATGGAGTAAAGCTTGTGGGAGTAAAGCCATGAGACCTTCATTTGCTCATGGGGCACAAACCAAAATGAAGAGAAACAGCTGTAAACATCCATTGAAAATCGGAACATGGAATGTACAAAGTATGAATCTAGGAAAATTAGAAATTGTCAAAAAAAAAATGGAATGCATAAGCATCAATATCTTAGACATTAGTGAGCTGAAATGGACTGGTATTGGCCATTTTGAATCTGACAAACACATGGTTTACTATGCAGGGAATGACAAATTGAAAAGGAATGGTGTTGCTTTAATTGTCAAAAAGAACATATCCAGATCAGGCATGAGGTACAATGCTGTCAGTGATAGGATAATATCTGTGTCTACAAGGAAGACCAGTTAATACTACTAATATTCAAATTTATGCACCAACAACTAAGGCCAGTGTGGATGAAATAGAAGAATTCTACCACCTTCTTCAATCTGAAATTGACCAAACATGTAATCAATATATAATGATCATTACTGGTGATTGGAATGCAAAGGTTGGGAGGAAAGAGAAGGATCAGTAGTTGGAAAACATGGCCTTGGTGATAGAAATGATGCTGGAGAATGCATGATAGAATTCTGCAAAATCAATGCCTTCTTTAAACAGCATAAGGGATGATTATACACATGGACCTCACTGGATGTAATACAAAGATATCAAAATGATTATATTTTCAGAAACAGATGATGGAAAAGCTCCATATCACCATTCAAAATAAGGCCAGGGGCAGATTACAGAACAGATTATCAACTGATCATATGTAAATTCAAACTGAAGCTGAAGAAAATTAAAACAAGTCCACAAGAGCCAAAATATGATCTTGAATTTATCCCACCTGAATTTAGAGATCATCTGAAGAACAGATTTGTTACATTAAACACTAAAGACCAAAGATGAGAAGAGTTGTTGGATGACATCAAGAACATCACACAGGAAGAAAGCAAACAGTCATTAAAAAGACAAGAAGAAGAAAAATGGCAAAATGGATGTAAGAACATTCACTGACACTCTCTCTCCAGCATAGGGATGCTAAAACAAATGGAAGAAATGGGAGGTACAATAGCTGAACAGAAAATCTCAATGGTCAGCTCAAGAAGATAAACACAATTATTACAACAAAATGTGCAAAGCTCTGAGTCAGAAAACCAAAGAGGAAGAACATGCTCAGTATTTCTCAAGCTGGGGAACTGAAGAAAAAAATCAAGCCTCGACTCACATTATTGGTGGATTATCTGGGCAAATTGCTGAATGATGCAAAAAGCATCTAAAGAAGATGGAAGGAGTATACAGAGTCATTGTACCAAAAGGAAATGGTTGATATTCAACCTTTTCAAGAAGTAGCATATCCTGAGTGAGGTTGCCCCAGAATCAGGCAGTGTTTTGTTCTCATAGGCATAGTGCCGCTATGAGTCAGTACCAACTCAATGGCACCTAACAACAGCAACAACAATGGGTAAATATCGAATGATTCAGAAAGCATTCAAAGAAGATAGATGGTCAAGGGGGAACTTAGTTTAATAATGTGTGGGGAATAAAAGAGTCCCCACTGAATAGATTTCATCTTGTCTAGATGGGTCTAGTTAAAAGAGATGGGGATAAGATTCTTACGATTCAATAATGAGTAATAGTTATCATGACTAATTGAGACGCTCACAATTGTAAAGGTAGAGTTTTTTTAAACAAAAACACGGAGTGCTTAATCTTACATTCCAGAAACAAAGGACCCTAGGATCATCAAAGGAGAAGAGCATAAGCAGAATGAGAGATCTTATCTAGAGAAGCAGTGACACCAAAGATGGAGGCAGAGATGGGGACATGGAGAGAGGGAGCAGCTAAGGACTCTAGATTCATGGGAAGTGAAGGACTAAGAGATGGTGACCAGGAGGCAGACTTGAAGAATGTGCCCTTTGGTTATACAAATTATGATATATGCCTGAGTGTTTTTTGTCTTTGTTTTTTAAAAAAGCTAAAGTGAATAGAGAGAAATACTGTTAACTGATGATACCTGGAGGGGATTACAATCATTGTAATGAAACAAGATGGATGATTTATTGAATGTAAAACTGATGATCTGCTCTGTAAACTTCAACTCAATCTGCAATAAAAACCTTAAATTAAAAAAATTTTCAAAAGGAGATAGATGGGATACACAGAGTACTTGTACCAAAAACAAATGGATGATATTCAACCATTTCAAGAGATGGCATATGATCAAGAGCCAATTATATTGAAGGAGGAATCCAAGGAATCCACTGCAGGCATTGGCAAAGAACAAGGCTCTGGGAATAAGTGGAATACAGATTGAAATCTTTCAACAAACAGATGCAGCAATGTAGACACTCAATCATCTATGTCATGAAATTTAGAAAACAGTTATCTGACCAACTGATCTCTTCCAAGACACATATTTTTGCCCATTCCAAATAAAGGTGGCCCAATGGAATGCAGAAAATTTTGGACAATAGCATTCATCTTACATGAAAGTAAATTTTTTTCTAAAGAAAATTCAAAAACAGTTGCAATAGTACATTGACAGAGAAATACTGGAGGTTAAAGCCAGATACAGATGAAGATGTGGAATGAGTGATATCATTTCTGACATCAGATGGGCATTGGCTAAAAGTAAACTATCAGAAAGAGATTTAAAATCAGGAAAGGGGTGTACCACACTTATATTCTTTTACTATTCTGATTCAAACTATAAATTGGGTTATATCAAGAATAATGTGGCATCAGGATTGGATTAATCATAACAACCTAAGACATACTGGAAAAAAAAAAAAAGAAAAAAACAGAAACAAACAAAAACACCTTGCTTGCTGAAATTGAAAAAGACTTAAAATACTGATGGAGGTGAAAGACCACAGTCTTTAGTTTGGGTTGCACCTCAAAGTAAAGAAGAAAACTCCTCACTTCATCACCATTGTAATAATAAATGACATCATGATAAATGTAGAAAACAATGAAGTTATCAAAGACTTCATTTTGCTTGGATCCACTATCAACACTCATAGTAATAACAGTCAGGAAATCAAACAATGTATTGCATTAGGCAAATCTGCACAAGACCTTTTTAAAGTGTTCATGGGATGTCAGTCTGAGGACTAAGTGTACTTGAACCAAGCCATGGTATTTTCAATAGCTTTATATACATGTGAAATTTGGATAGTGAATAAGGAAAACCATAGAAGAATTTATGAATTTGAGTTATGAAAATACCATGGATTGCTAGAAGAACAAATCAAATCTGTATTAGACAAAATACATCCAGAATACTCCTTAGAAGTAAAGATGGTGAGACTTATTATCAGGAGAGATCATTCCCTGGAGTTATACATCATGCTAGGTAAAGTGGAGGGTCAGTGAAAAAGAGGATGAACCCCAACAAATGGATTGACATAGTGGCAGCATCAGTAGGTTCAGGTTTACCAAAGATTGTGAGGATGGTGCAAGACCAGGCAGTGTTTCGTTATGTTGTGCATAAGGACGCTATGAGTTAGAACTGACTCGACACAACGTAACCTCAAGAATAACAAGCTGGAGGGTTTGAACCATCAAACTTGTTGTTAACAGTCCAGTGCTTATCCTACAGCACCACGCCAGGACTCCGATATTAATTAGGTATTAATTAATTTAGCATATTTAGAATATAAAAACAGCACTTCTATTATATATTTGTTCATTAATAATAGCTATATTTACAGTGCTCATTTCTCCTTTTCAACAGTTTCATTAGCTATATGGAACCAAGAAACCAAACACATATTTTAGAATTCATCCTTTTGGGACTCTCAGAAAAGGCAGAACTTCAGCCCCTCCTCTTTGGACTGTTCCTGACCATGTACCTGGTCACCTTCACTGGGAACCTGCTCATCATCCTGGCCATCATCACGGACTCCCACCTCCGCACTCCCATGTACTTCTTTCTCTCCAACCTCTCTTTTGCAGACATTTGCTTCACCTCCACCACTGTTCCAAACATGCTGCTGAACATTCAGATGCAGAATAAAATCATTACCTATGAAGAGTGCATCACTCAGATGCACTTTTTCATTCTTTTTGGAGCATTAGACAATTTCCTCTTGACAGTGATGGCTTATGACCGGTTTGTGGCCATATGTCACCCACTACACTACATGGTGATCATGAATCCCAAGTTCTGTTGCCTCCTGCTTCTGGCATCCTGGTTATTGAGTATTCTGGACTCTCTATTAAATGTCTTAATGGTTTTGCAACTAACTTTTTGTACACATTTAGACATCTCCCACTTTTTCTGTGAAATTAGTCTGGTAGTCAAACTTGCTTGTTCTGACACTTTCCTCAATGAGTTAGTGATGTATTTTGCAACTGGAATTATGGGTGTTATTCCACTCACTGGAATCCTTTTCTCTTACTGTAAGAT